CATGTGGTGTTTGACGAGTCTACCTTTCCTCACAAATCTCAGTCCACTGTCCCTATTTTACCCTCTACCTTTTTACATGCCAATGAGTCGTCACCTACCTCTACCTCTGGTCCAGATCTTAGTCATTCGCCATCGTCACTTGCCTCTCCTGCTGGTGCTCCCCATGAATTGGTGGCTCACGAGGTGCCTCTTCCTGCAGCTTCTCCTTCATCAATCCCATCACCGATTCCGGTACCAGCCCACCTACCCGCCCAGTCCAACTCCCCCAGTCCCACATCCTCCGCTCATTCCACTCCTCATCACACCTCCTTATCCCCAGTCCAAGTCTCAAAACCGTCCACTTCCCCAACCCAAGCCCCAAGTAGTGTGGCTCGCCCAAATCCTCGTACCCGGCTACACCACATGCGCACTCGCTCCTTGAATAACATTTTTAAACCCAAAATCCTTTTCCAAGCTATGTCCCAGTGTCCTACACCTCTAAGTGAACCCACTTGTGTGACACAAGCTCTGAAAGATCCCAATTGGAGACGGGCTATGTCTGAAGAATTTAGTGCTCTTGTGCGTCAAGGTACGTGGGAACTTGTTCTTCCATCTCCTGATCATCATTTAATTGGTTGTAAATGGGTGTTTCGTTTAAAACGAGCTCCAGATGGTCGTCTTGAGCGTTATAAGGCTCGCTTGGTTGCCAAAGGCTTTCATCAACGTCCGGGATCTGACTATTTCAACACCTTTAGTCCTGTTATTAAACCTACTACTATTCGTACTGTTTTATCTATTGCAGTAAGCCAGCAGTGGGTTATCCGGCAATTGGATATTAATAATGCCTTTTTACATGGTCATCTTGAGGAACAATTGTTTATGAAGCAACCGGCAGGATTTGTTGATCCTCGTTTCCCTCAGCATGTGTGCAAATTGCGGAAGTCTATATATGGCCTGAAGCAAGCTCCCCGAGCATGGTTTCTTGAGCTTAAAAGCTTTATTATCTCTCAAGGCCTCTCAATCTAAGTCAGACTCGTCTCTTTTTATTCTTCACAAAGGGTCTACTTGGATTTATTTTCTTGTCTATGTTGATGA